AGAAAGCTGTGGCAGGGTCAAGCTGCTGCCATGAGAAGGGCTCTGGGCATCCTGCTCAGCCTTGCAAAGGAGCATCACCAGGGTCCTGTTGGGTGGTCCCAGAAATAGCAGCCAGACCACTCTACAGCGTCCCCACCCCTCCCCACCCCATGACCCCACATGCACCATGAAGGTCAGGTTGTCCTTGGTGTTGACTTGGATCTGGATTCCCAACACGGTGCTCAGAGAGCCTACGCACAACAATGCTCGCTACAAGGCAGATTTCCTTCTCCCAAACTAAATGTGCAAACTAAATCTTTTCTGGTGTCACAGTCTCCTTTCACTTTTGGTCCATTTCAGAACAGAAGATGGGAAAGAATAGGCATGGAGGGAATACAGAAGTGAGCGCTTTCTTCTCCCAAGTGTGGGCTCCTTAGCACATGAGCAAATCCCTCGCCACTTCAGCACACTCTGGAGCTGAGACGAAAGCGTTTTGAACATTGTGTTTAAAACATTCTTTTTAGGAAAGCAAGGAAATGTGTCATTCATTTTGGAGTCTTATGAAAGTGGCTGCTGTGGCTGTTTCATCACTCAGCATTTATCTGAAAAAGGCGCTTATGTGGCTGCTTTGTCCACTAATGACGCTAAGTGAATGAAATGTTTCTGAATTATGGGCTCCAGCAATCCGTGTGCCAGGTGAGGCCGTTCTTACTTATATTTGTCATAAACTGACACCTGCCAAGCTGCACTCAGGCCCTTGGGGCTGTGGTTTTGCAGGCTTTGGTCATACCTCAAGCCTCTGGATGGCTAGTGGCTGGTGCCCCACCCAGATCCCCGCAGGACCCTTGGCCAAGGGTCTGCTTCCCTTTGTTCGAGGGCTTGCTCAGACTGCCAGATCCTGTTCTGCTCACTCGCACGCAGGCCAGAAGTAGCTGAGAAATAACAGCCCTGGAAGCCCCCCAGTAGTGAGTTGGTGGATAAGTACCCCACCCCCTCACCCGTCCCTCTGGTGGGATAACTGAGGCACACACACATTCTGCGCCGCTTCCAGCATCGCCCATGGGCTTGGCTCTGGCTGCCCACAGTGTAACTTGTTGAAAACATGCCCTTTATGGGCTGCCTTCTCATCTCTGTCTCTCCCCGACCCTCAATGCTTCCTGGAATCACTGCCCAAATAAACTTGGTGTTTAAATCTTTGTCTCAGGGTGTGCTTCTAGGGGAATCCAAATAAAACTCTTGCCTCTCTAGGCTTCTACTCCCCCTTCCCTCCACCTATCTTTTACACAGAGGATACATACCAATAGATACGGTTGTCTTAGGCAGCCCCACTTTGGAGACGACAGAATCAGAGACATTGGCCTTTACCCAATCTGTCTCTAAGCTGGTCTGAGAGTGGACAGTGGCCCCCACCTCCCACCTGTCTCCCACACGTCTGCATCCAGGATGCACCCATCGAGAGCTCTCAGACCACCAGGCAGCTCCCGAGTTGTTTGAGCGTATCCCTGTTTCTTTCTTTGTGTTCTTTCATCTCAGTTTGTTTTCTCATAGTATCAGCTATTCCCAAGGGGAAAAGAATGAAAAAATCTCCGCTTCCCCTTCCCAACCATCTACCTTTGGGGCTTGCAATTCCATTCAATGGTGTTAATTGGTGACCTACTGCGTGCTTGGGGATTTCCCAGATCTGTTCCTAAGGAGGCTAGTGGGAGCTGGGGGCAGCCAGGATCCAGGACTGACTGATGTTGCCCAGGGGGATAGGTGGGAGAGGATGCTCAGTCCAGAGTCATTGATTTATTTGGCACCAGTTTGGAAGTCAGCTTGGGCAGTGCAGGGTGTCTGTGTGGAAGGGGCATGTTGAGTGGTCTAGGAGATTCTGTCATTTCTCAGCATCTGCCCGTCCAATGCCAATGCCTCTTTCTTTCTCTGTGCCCTCCCTCCCCAAGGTCTCAGAGCATTCCAGGCAACTTTCCTGGGATATATGACAATGAAAGGCCACAGTGATCTTGGATTGCTTCACAAGCCTACCTCCTCTGGCTATCTACCACTAGGTGGTCCTGGAACCTGTCCCTGGTGGAGTTCAAGCTAAGCTGGTCCTGAAAGCAGGAGGGAGGAGCTTGGGGTTGATACCTCATTAGCATATTCATCAACAATAATCAGGGGCCTGCTATGATCGAAAGCCATCTTCTGTCTTCTCTGCCTCTTGGCTGGCTGAGAAAGGGGTTGGTGGGGAGAGGCTGGTCAAGGCCTTGGCTTGAAAGGACTGTAGCCTGAGGGGAGGGGAGGGAGAAAAGGAGGGTAGAGGTGGGGTAAAGTCCCTGGAGAAAGGAACATCTGGAAAAAGAACCTGTGGAAGGGAAGAAACGGTGCTGGTGCCCCCCATACACCTCATCCTCATTAGGGGACAAGAAGACCCATCACTTCTGCCTCCTAAGTCAGCATTTCACATGACTTGGGGTCACTGAGGCTCCCAAGCAGACTTTGAGGAGGAACAATTTCCATGTTATTATTTATGTATTTATAGTAATCTGTATGAGAAACAACACGGCTAGCTCCTAATGCCCATGACAGCCCAGATATTATGGCTTAGCATGAAGCCAAGTAAAAGAGTAAATTGATTTAAAATTATGCTCATATGAAGAAAATCATTGAGCAGTGATGACTATGGCAGCCGTCGTCACAGTGGCATGCCCGTGATGGGCATCTGGCAAAGCTGGTCTAAATGGCTCTCAGAGCAGTTCTACCATCCTCAGCCTCAACCCTCATCCCTGCGGCAACTTCCACTTGTCTCTCACACTGTGCCCGCTCCCCCATCCCCCAGGGTCTTCTAAGCTCTGCTTGGCTTCAGAACTTTCTAGTGGTCTTTAGTCGCATTTCCCAAACCAGGTCCCTTAACAAAAATGCTCTGTAGCTAAGTAAGCATGGTGTATTAGTAACCTATTGCTGCATAAAAAATTACCCCGAAACTCAGCAGCTTAAAATGACACCATCCTCAGCCTCAACCCTCATCCCTGCGGCAACTTCCACTTGTCTCTCACACTGTGCCCACTCCCCCATCCCCCAGGGTCTTCTAAGCTCTGCTTGGCTTCAGAACTTTCTAGTGGTCTTTAGTCGCATTTCCCAAACCAGGTCCCTCAACAAAAATGCTCTGTAGCTAAGTAAGCATGGTGTATTAGTAACCTATTGCTGCATAAAAAATTACCCCAAAACTCAGCAGCTTAAAATGAAAAACATATGTCATACAATTTCTGAGCCAGAAATCGGGGAGCAGCTTAGCTCGGTGGTTCTGGCTCAGTGCCTTCCATGAGGCTACAGTCACGGTGACAGCTGGGGTTGCGGTCATCTGAAGGATTGACTGAGGCTAGTGGATCTGCTTCCCCAGGTGGCTCAAGCTGGCAAGTTGGTGCTGGCTGTTGACAGGAGGCCTTAGTTCTCCATGTGGCCCTCTCCATAGGGTTACTTGAGTGTCTTCACAACATGGCAGCTGGCATGACCAAAGTTACTGATCCAAGAGAGAGAACAAGACAAAAGGTGCAATGCTTTTTATGATCTAACCTCAGAAGTCCTATGCTGTCACCTCTGCCATATTCTGTTGGCTACACAGGCAGTCTTGACATACTATGAAAGGGGACTGACTACACAAAGGCATAAATACCAGGAGGCGGGGATCATTGGGAACCACCCTGGAGGCAGGCTACAACACTTGGAAAGCACCAGGTTGAGCCAACTCAAGCGGGGTCTATCCCTGGAAGGTGTCCCAGAGCCCCCCAAATAACCATATGCTATGAAGCCGTGTTTCCTAGCAATTGTGGCCACAGCACCCTTTTCTAAAGGGGGGATCTAAGCTGGGAGAGATACAAGGAACACACTTTGGAAGACACCAGCCCAGAGAAGAAACTCTAAATCTCCTCCCCTGACATCTGTGTCCCTTCATGGTCGGGCATGAACTTCCAACACAAACTCTTCTCTCCACTTTACTCTCTGAAACCTGTGGCCCAGTGACACTAACCCTTGCGCACACAGCCACTTCTTACGGCTTGCTCTCCCTTTTGCCTTCCCGACCTGCAGGGCTCCTGCTTATTCCTCGAGAACCAGGGGGAAAGCCACCCTCTCCATGAAGTCTTCCCCTCATCTCTAGCAAGATTTCACTTTTCTTCCTTTGCTTCTCTAGTTTTTTACATGCTAGCATCTTCCGGGGCACTGCCACTTTGTCTTGTGTTCCGGTTCTCTGTATGTGTCTTCCCTTCCCTTCCAGGCATTTAACTCAATCCCCACTCGCTGCTGTGTGCCCGGTGCTTGGTACATCATTGGAATTCAGGAGGTATCTGGTGAACAGAGCCTGGATTCTTCCCGTCCTCCTGCTCTTACCCTGCCCTTGCATCTCGAATGGGTTCTGATGAGTCAGGAGAGCGCCCTTGGCAAGGCCAGACTAAAAGTTCCTCCTGCTCAAGGAAGCCCGTGGTTGTCTTTCCCTAAGCTGGAGGCAAGTCCCTCTACAGCTTCAACCACAACCCTGGGTCCAGGCTGGGCAGACTAGTGGTCCTGAGCCAGTTTGATGTCTCTGAGGCATCATCACTTCCCAGGCAACACCACAGCCTCATGGAAGCCTCAGCCATGAGCTGGGGGTTCAGTGGGATATTTGTTCCGGAACCTGCCAGTTTTCCCTTGGTGCCCGAAAGAGCAGTCACAGGAGCCACTGATCAGTAAGATGGATTGCTTCATACATTTGATTTTGGAGATCACCTTTCAACATGATGGGCCCAGGGAAAGCCTGGGAGGGAGCCTGACAGGGATGCCTCCATTGCGGTCACCAGCTCTGTTGCCCAGGGAGCAGACTGGGTTGACCTTGGTGCTGGAAGGCCTCTGTCTGGAACCAAAATGGCCCTGGCCAGGGTGGAAAGGGCCTGTACAATTTGATTTCTTGCCCAAACTCTTGATATGTCAGAGCCAAGTCCTGGCCAGCCCACCTACCTAGCCAGAGGTGCTGGGGTCTTTCTCACTGGAGGGCCCTGCTAGTGGTTTTCCAGCTCCCTTCTTCCCACAGTGGTGTGGGCCTGGCACGTGCACATTTTGAGAAGCAGCCTCCCTCCAACCTCAGGAAATCCAACTTCTTCCACTTCGTGCTGGCCATGTACGACCGGCAAGGGCAGCCCGTGGAGGTGGAGCGCACGGCCTTCATCGACTTCGTGGAAAAGGACCGAGTGAGAGGCTCGTGGGCTCGCTGGACCAGCACAGGGAGGGGTGGGAGGGCTCCAGGAACCCTCCCCCCAACACACACACCACACTGGGGCAGATGAACAGACAGATGGCGGAGGAGGGTGGGTGCATGGCTGGAAGGGAGGAACAGAGGGCGTCATTAGGGACAAGGGTGTGGGTGAGGGAGGCTGAAGGATCCCTGAGCACCTGAGCATCCTCTCCATCTTGTCCCTGCAGGAACCTGGGGCTGAAAAGACAAACAATGGGATCCATTACCGCCTCAGGCTGGTGTACAACAATGGTGAGTGAAGGCCACTGCCCCTGCCCTGCCCTGACCAGGAAGAGGTCTGGGTACCACAGCAGCACTGTGTGGCACATAATGCCACACTCATCAGGGCTTGGGAGGGCGTGGGTGTGGCCCAGTCACCAGAGGCCACAGATGCTCTTCCAACAGCTCTCTCTCTCCATCATCCCCCCCCAGGACTTCGGACAGAGCAAGACCTCTATGTACGTCTCATCGACTCCATGTCCAAGCAGGTGAGTCAGCCCAGAGGATGCTCAGACCCGTCCCGCCCTCATCTCAGACCCCATCTCCCCCTTGGTATGAGTGAGCATCCTCGTCCCTGCCCTCGTCTCCCCTGTGCCCTTCATCCCCATCAGTCTGGCTCCTCCAGTTCCTGCCCCAGTCTACAGCAGGAGGACATGTGGTTCTTGCCCTCCAGACTAGAAAAGACAATATTTGCACCAAGACCCTGGCTTAGGGCATATTCCCTTGCAGCCCAGCCTGAGATGGGAATTTGGGTGCACAAAGTTTATTGGGGAGGTAGGAGGGGGCTCTCAGGAGAAGGGGAGGGAGGGAGGCTGGACAGGAAGATGCTCAGGAAGGATGTGGCCTCAGCTGGAGTCTGGCCTCAGCCTGAGCCATGGGTAGCTCTGGGGAAGGAAAGGCACCAGAGTTGTCCCCCCTTGAAGCAAGGAGGCCACAATTCTGTACCCTGTATCAGTTAGTCATTGGCTGTGGACTGCTAAGGGGAGCTTAACCTCCCAGCCACTTTCAGACAAGGCATCTCCTATCCACTGAGAGTGATTCTCAAGAGAAAGCTCTCAGCAGCCAGCACTAACCACAGCCAAGGGACAGGAGCACTGATCCAGCAAAGGGGACCTGGTGTGGCCCCAGGAGCTTCCACGGCACACGCTCAGCTCCTCAATGATGTGCCAGTCACAGGAAGGAGACTCAGGGGCCAGCATCAGGAGCTGAAACCTGAATAAGCATCAGTGGATTCTGCCTAGGCAGGGCCCTGTCTCGGTGCTTTTAGAGAAGTTGTGTGTGCTACTAAGGAGGGTGTTTGGTCTCAAATAGGCCAGATTAATGGGCCCGAAATGCGAGGTGGAGATTTGGGCTTTCCAACCCAAGCAGGGTCTTCTTGTAGGCTCCACCCAAGTCCAGGGCAGAGGAAGAAATGGTTTGTTTCCAGAAAGCCTGTGGTCACTGTGATGGGGAAGCAGGCCAGGCAGTGGCAAAGTGAGACTGTGGGGTGATGAGTGTGGAAGGGGTTCAAGGAAGTCCAGAGAATAAGGGACCCCACAAATGGGGGGAGGCTGGGAGGCCCAGAAGTTATAAACTGGGAAGCCAGATTGGCAGTTTAGGAAGTCCAGTCCTTGCTTCAGAGCAAAGGGAGGCTGGGAGACTGGTGAGTCCAAGGGGAAGATGTTAGGCTGGGCTGGGGAGGTGACAGGGAAGGAGAAGAGGCAGTTGTGTGGCCCTTGGGACTGATTAGCTGGTGGGGACAGCTGAGAAGGACAACGCTCAAGAGCAGGGGCTGAGGTCCACCAAGAGCATCAGAACAGACTGATCACAGGAGGATGCCGGAGGCAAGGGGAGGAGCATGATGCAGGGTGGGGATAGCAGTGGGTCTAGCCAACCAGCAGCCTGACCTTGATCCTGGTGGTCTAGGGACCCCCGGCCCCAAGCAGAGCTAACTCTGGAAGGAGCTGCCTGCAGACAGACAGAACCTGCAGACGTCGCACCGTTTTTGCCAGGAGGAGGTCACCCTCCACCTGGACAGCCAGGCTCAGAGCTCCTGCTTTGTGCCCCTGGGCTCCTCCAGAGCAAGGCCGAGGGCATGATCTTCCCTAGGGGCAGGGCTTCCCCTCGGTCTGGGCTTGGGTGATGCCAGTGTAGACCCCCAGGCCATTTCTGCACTGCCCAGGGACTTGAGAGGCGCCTCCTTCCCCTCCAGCCTGTGCACTTCCCCCTCCCCCAGGCCATCATCTATGAGGGGCAGGACAAGAACCCCGAAATGTGCCGAGTGCTGCTCACCCACGAGATCATGTGCAGGTGAGATGGGCTGTGTCCCTTGCACCTTGCCCCTTTGCCAAGATGTTGCCAAGGACTCCCAGCAGGCCAGGCCCCTACCGCTGCAAACCCGTCTTCCCACCTTTGCTGCTGCTCCCTGGAGAAACCTGGTGGGGGAAGGGATGAGGGAGGAGTGAGGTCGGTCCCTGGGCACAGTGCTGGCTGAGGAGAGGGTCCTTGAGGCCCCATTAGCCTGGCCTGTTTATGTGGCTTCTCCAAGTGTTTTTGTAAGAGAGGCCTCCTGCCGCTACTGGGAAGCTTAACTAATAAAGCTCAGGGGAGAGGCTCGCTGGGGATGTGGGGGCAGGGCCCCGGGCCAGGCAACCTGAAGGCCTCCAGGATTAGCTCAGAAACTGCGCGAACCCCAGGGCAGCTCTCTGGTGGGGCAAGAGGGTGTGGGGGAGACAAAGCTCTTGGCTTCTTCGTCCCCATTACCCCAGCCAGTCGTAGAGAGTCTCCGGAGGCAGTTCCTGATGTATAGAAAAGAGAATAATGTTCAAAAATCTGTGGTTGGGACAGTGGCTACCTTTGGCGAGGGGAGTAACAAGGAAGGGGGCCGAGGGGGCTTCTGGGGTGCTGGTCACGTGGTATTTCTTGGTCTGGATGCTGGTTATGTGGGCAGGTTCACTTTGTGATCATTCAGGAGCTGCATGCTTACAATTTGTGCTCCTTTCTCTATGTAGACTGCGCTTCCACAAAAGTGTACAGAGGGAGAGAGACCCCTTTAGGTGGCCTGCAGCCTGCCCTATCCTGGGGGTCCTCCATTGGCCGTGTGCCTTTGGGACAAGGGTTTCCTGGCTATTCCCAAGCCCGGGCTCTCAAATCCCTGCGTCCTCTCCGCCTTTCTACCCCAGGCCCCTGGGAGTGAGCCCCTCCGGCCAGCACCAACCAGGGGCCGCCCCCCCACACGCTCACACACGCACACACGCACACGATCACACACGCTCACACATGTACACGCACACACGCTCGCTCACGCTCACACACGCACACCCACACGCACAGGCTCACACACACGCTCACACTCGCACACACTCACATGCTCACACACGCGTGCAGGCTCACACACGCTCACACACTCACATGCTCACACACACACGCGCAGGCTCACACACGCTCACACACTCACATGCTCACACACACACGCGCAGGCTCACACACGCTCACGCTCGCACACGCTCACACACACACGCGCAGGCTAGGCTCACACACGCTCACACACTCACATGCTCACACACACACGCGCAGGCTCACACACGCTCGCACACGCTCACACACACACGCGCAGGCTCACACACACACACACACACGCTCACACACTCGCACGCTGAAATCTGCCCTCCTTCCTTCCTCCTCGTCTTTCCTTCAGTCGCTGCTGTGACCGGAAGAGCTGTGGCAACCGGAATGAGACGCCCTCAGACCCCGTCATTATCGACAGGTACGGGCTGGGGGAGGGGGTCTGGCAGCTGCGGGACCAGGGGGTTGGGTTCAGCCACAGAGCTGCCCCCAGGGCACCATGTTGGTGGCTCTGAGCAGAGAGAAACTGTTGGGGACTAGGGAGCTGCCAGCCCCCCCGAGTGAAGCCCCCAGTGGCCGACTTTCTGGAGCCCCGTTCCCTGACTCGCGGACGCGAGGAGCCCGGGCCGGGCGGGGAGATTGTGGGGTGGGGACGGGGAGGCGAGCGGCCCGCAGCGAGGGGACGCGCGTCAGCCAAAGCCGGTCTAGGCCCTGGTCCAGCTCTGCTCTGTTGGACTTGACTCCTTTGGACTTCCGTTTCCTCCCATGGGAAAATGGAGAAGTTATTTGGCCGGTTTCAGTCGCAGAATTGTCAAGGTGATGCATGGGAAAATGCATTCTCCCACCATGAGGTTTATCTTTTTAAAAATTATTTTATTACTTGTTGAATAGGAAATGCATAAATAAGGTACAATATTTAAAAGGTACAAGAGAGTAAATTATGAAAAGCAAGTGCGTCCCCACCCCAATGTGGAGCTTACTGTACACACGCTTTTGCACCTGACTTTTTTTGGTAACAATATATCTTAGATATCATTCCTTATCAAAACGAAAACCATGTCTTATTCTCCCAAAAGACTCACAAGGTGCAAAACTCAAGAAATTTTGGGCACCAGTCATCCCTATATAGGATCCGAACCCACAGCGGGAGCACCCTCCCGAGTGCGCCACGGGCTCAGCTCCAAAACTCAAGAAATTTAAGAGGGTTTACAGCAAGATGTCTTCCACCTCTGCCTCCACGCATTCATTCTCCTCCAAATAAGTCAGCATTGTTACTGCAATCAAGTAAGATAAGGGGTGCCTAGAAAGGGAGAATTGCAATTTTAGAGTATTTAAGGCCTCACTGAAAGATGACATTTGAGCCAAGACCTTAAAGAAGGAAGGGAGCAAACCATGTATGTATCTGGAGAAAGAATATTCTCATCAGGAGTGTGTCTGGTGTGTTTAAGTAACAGCAAGGAGGCCAGGTGGCTGCAGTGAGGGGGACAGGAAGAGGAGATAACATCAGAAGTAATGATGGGGCAAGAGGGTGGCAAGACCGAAGCAGGGCCTTGCAGGCTGTGTGTGGGCCGTGTGTACAGGCCATTGTAAGGATTTTTGCTTTTATTCTGAATGACATGGAAGCCATTGGGGGGTATTGAGAAGGATGATATGTCCTGGCTTATATTTTACAAAGACCACTCTAGCTGCTGTGTTGAGGATGACCTGGAGGAGGCAGCAAGATGAGATAGGAAGCCATTACAATAATCTTGGTGACAGATGGTGGAGGCTGAGACCAGGGAGGTTGTAGGGTATTGGGGAGGTTGTTAAGAAATGGTTGGATTCTGGATACATTTTATTTCATTGGCAGAACTGATAGGATTTGTTATGGAAGGAGAGAGAAAGCCAAAGACGTCTCCAAAATTTCTGATCTGATTAACTTAGAAGGTTGGAGTTTACTGAGAGAGGGGAAAAACAGGTTTGGGGGAGGAAATTGTGAGTTTGGTTTTGGACATGTTATGTTTAAGGTGCTTACTAAATATCCATGTGGGGATGTTTAGAAAGCAGCTGAAAACATGAGGATCTCAAACGAAAGGTTCAGGCTGCATTAAATAAATTATAAATTTGAATGGATAAAATTATTGAGGGAATGAGTCTGATAAAAAAAAATAGAAGAGGTCTAAGAGCTGAATCCTGGGGTGTCCAGTGTGTAGAGGTCATGGAGGTTTGGAATCAGCAAAAGAGAATGAGAAGCAGCAGACAGTGAGGTAAGAGAGAAATCGGAGGTGTCGTGTCCTGGAGCTTAGATTAGAAAATGTTCTAAGAAGGAGTTAGGAGGCAACTGAATCAAGTGTTTCTCATGGATATGATAAAACGACTAAGAGCTGACCGTTAAATTTAGTGATGTGGAGGACATTGGTGACCTTAACAGGAGCCATTTCAGTGGAGTGGAGGGGCAGAAGTCTGATAGGACGGTGTCTAAGAGAGAATGGGAGAAGAGAGGTTACAGACAATGAATAGAGGAACTCTTGTGAGTTTGCTCTAAAGGGGTCAAAGAAATGGAATGGTGCCGGATCACAGTGTAAGACCAAAAAACAATATAGCTTGTTCACATGCGGACGAGAAACGTCGAGTAGGGAAGGGAAGGATGAGGATTCAAGAGAGAGAAGGGAAAATTGCTGAAGCAATGTCCTTTAGTTGGCAAAGGGGATGGGGCTTTGTGAACAGGTAGAGGGACTGAGATTAGCTGGAAGCATAGACAGTTCATCCATGGAAACCACAGGGGAGACAGAGAACATGGACACGGAAATGGGCACGTGGGTATATCCGCTGTGGGAGCTTGTCAAATATCTCTTCTGATTGCTTTGTTTTCTCAGTGAAATAGGAAGCAAAGTTAACAGTTGAGGATGACGATGGAGAGGGAGACCCTGGAGGACATGGAATAGTTGTCTAGGAGAATTAGTGGACCAGGGAAATGTCATGTGATTGCTAAGCAGCACTAAGGTCCCTCCTGAGGCCATAAATTTAGTGAAAACTTTCTCCAGCCATGTTGAGCCGCACAGGTGCTGGTGCAGAACAGGTGAGCAGTAGTGTAAAAACCAGAGTCAGAGTGTTTCCCATTGAGTACAATGAAACAGGAGAGGACAAGAAAAAGTGTATGTAAGAGGGTATGTACAAAATGGAACAAGGGATTTAAGCTAGGTAAGGAGAGGAGTATGTGAGAGAGAATATAGGTTCTCACGGGGCAAAAGAATTGTTGGAGTTTAGGTACAGATAGGTTGTGCTGGAAGTTAGATGGTGATTGGAGACTGGGTTGCCTGTAGGTGGGATTATTTGGGGCTTGCATTTATTGGTAATGTGTGCCCAAGTAAGGGTGTAAGGGTGGAGACAAGATCATTGGAGAAAAGGTGCTCAAGGAATGGAGAGGGGAGTGTGTTGGAAGAATTATCTACCTATATTGATTTTTTTTTGGTGGCTGGCCAGTACGGGGATCTGAACCTTTGACCTTGCTGTTGTAACATCATGCTCCAATTGAGCTAACCAGCCAGCCCCCCCACCACCACCACCTATACTGATATTGAAATCACCAAAAATTATGACAGGACCAGTGTTCAAGAGTGTGTATAGTGAACGAGGAGTAAAAGCTTCCAGGAGTGAAGGCAGGTAATCTCCAGGCTCATAGATGACTGCAACAAACAGTGGTGACCATCTTTCTCCATCATAAGTGAACCATGGTGTTCCAATGAATTCCATTTTTTTTTACTCTAAGTGAGATTGTGCACACTCTCATGTGTTTAAAGGCCGTTTGTGTTTCCTTCCTGTGAACTGTCTGTTCATAAGCTGTGTTTATTTTTCTGTAAGGGATTGGTTTTTCTTACTGATTTGTAGGAGTATATATTAAGGAAATTAGCCCTTTGTCACGAGTTACTCATATTTTTTTCTAGTTGGGTGTTTGTTGTCTTTTAACTTTGCTTATGGTGAAATTTGCCCATTCTCTCAATCTTTTAAGTACTTTGGGTTTTTGTTATATTTAGAAAGGCCTTTATCACTCCAAGATTATTTTTAAGAATTTATCCTGTGGCTTATTCTAGTGCTTTGATGGCTTCATTGTTTACATTTAAATATTTGTTCCATTTGAAAAAAATTTTAAGTTATGTCCTATATGATATGTACAAAAGAAAAATATAACAAAATAGAAATTATGAAGCATAATAATCAATGTACACCTGTGAACCTACCAACAAACTTAAAATTGAAACATTAAAAATACCACTGAAGCCAGTTCTCCCTGGTCTCATACCATTGTCTGCCCCTCTCCTAAAGATAAGCTGGGTTTTGTTTTACCATGACCTCACTTTTTAAAAAATAATTTATGAAAATAAAAAAAGATTTATCACAGACTGCATAATTCTAAACAATATGTTGTTTAGTTGTGCTTGTGTTTAACTTTATAAAAATATCATGTTGTAGTAGTCTTCTGCGATGTTCTTTTTTAATTCAGCATTATATTTCTAAGATTTATTTATGTTGCTGTATTTAGCTGTAATTTGTCACGTTTAGTTTTTGCTATTATAAGCAAAGCTGCTATGAACATTCTTGTTTGTGTCTCCTAATTTCAATAGCTACAAGAGTTTGTTTAGGATATAAACGAGGACTGGAATTGCCAGGTCATGGGGTATGTACATGGTCAACATCACAAGTTAATGTCAAACACTCCCACCATCAGGATTGAGTTTCTATTGCTCCACACCCCTCACCGTCACTTAATAATGTCAAACTTCTTACTGTTTGCCAGTCTAGTGGTTATGCAGGGGATTTTGTGGTGGGCAAGTTAATGTCAAACACTCCCACCATCAGGATTGAGTTTCTATTGCTCCACACCCCTCACCATCACTTAATAATGTCAAACTTCTTACTGTTTGCCAGTCTAGTGGTTATGCAGGGGATTTTGTGGTGGGCTTAATTTGCATTTTCCTGATTATTAATGAGATTGAACACCTTTTTATTTGTTTATTGGTGTTTGCATTGCTTCTGTTAAGTATGTACTAAAATCTTTTGCCCATTTTTCCTTTCGAATTGTTTGGGTTTTTTCATATTGATTTTAGCAATTCTTTATAGATCCTAGATGCTGATTCTCAGGGTAGTATGTTGCAAGTATCTTAAGGTAGTTGAATTTATCAATATATTCCTCATGGTTTTTACTCTGTGTTTTATTTAACACATCTTTCCTGCTGAGGTCATGAAGATATTCTTCTATATTTTCTTCCAAAGGTTTCACAGTTTCCCTTTCACATTTAAGTTTGTAATCCATGTGGAACTAATTTGGGGATGTGGTATGAATTAAGAAATCAGTGTAATTGTTTTTTACATATGACCCACTAATTATTCCAGTACTATTTATTAAATAGCTCATTGTTTCTCATTTGTAGTACCAACTATGTC